TAGCAAACTGGATCATTTCATGATCACTGTCCCCTAGCCTCCCTTGTACTAGCACACCCCACACCAGGTCGTCCCCAGAGGCTAACACCAGATCCAGTATGCCGTTTTCCCTAGTGGGGACGAGTACCTCCTGCACAAGGTGTAGGTCCTGTATGTACGTCAGGAACCTTCGTGAGTGGCTAGACCTGGCTGACTGCTCCTCCCAGCTGATGTCAGGGTAATTCATATCACCCATGACCACAACATCCTTTGCACGCACGGCCTCCCCAAGCTGCCTGGAGAATTCCAGATCCAGCTCTTCCTCCTGATGTGGTGGCCTGTAGTAAACCCCTACCACCAGATCCCTCTCCCCCTGCCCTCCTTGAAGTTTGACCCACAGGGTCTCAGTTAAGCCTTCCTCTGATCCCATTTGGAAGGTAGAACTGGTATACTGTTCCCTAACACAGAGCGCAACCCCCCCCACCTTTTTTCTCCTTCCTGTCTCTTCTAAACAACCTATAGCCCTCTATGTCTATGTCTAGTTCTGGACCCCTCTGTCTCTCCTCCAGGCCCACTTCAAGATGTCAGCTCCTCTGTATTCTCCTGGATGGGGCCAAGGGCACTCTCCATGGCTCTAAGACTTGACTTTAAAAAATATGAAATTTGGAGGGATCTGTTAAAACAGTATTTAAAAAAAATGCTTATTTTCCCTAAGTTAGGCTTCATACAGATTTTATAGTTAAGAGTTTGGGGAGGGTTAGATGGGGTTAAAAATGGCCCCTGATATAAGTTGACGTACAAGGAGGGGCAGGCAGGATGGGGGGCTAGCAGGTGGGCTTGGGGGTGCTAGTGGAGTTTACAGGGAGGAGGGGAATGGTTGGCAGGATCAAAGAAGCTCTCCAATCCTGATAAACTCCCCTGGACTCACCCAGCCTTCTTGTGATACTGCTGAATCACCTCCAATCCTGCAAACCACTCCTGGGGTCAGTTTTAATAGCATTTTCTAGTCCCAGGAGCTTGACTGGAGTAAGCTGGGGAGGAGGGGCTGGCAGCTTGGTGGTGGGGTTGGCAGAATCAGGGGAGCTGGTGGCTCTGCGGCAGGGGGTTTGTGGAGATTGGGGGGCTCTCTCCCCACTTGGACCAGGAGCTATTTTTATCTCCATGACTGTCTCCCACCCCAAGATGAACAACCTCCCTGATGAATTAATCCCCTTGATTCCACCTGCCCCTCCCTCCAACCCTGACTTCCATTGGCTCCTGGCATTGGCAAATGACAATAAAACCAGCCCTGGGAGCGACTTGCAGTATTGGGGAGGGTTTTGCAGGATCAAGGTGGGGGGTGGGGCAAGCTGGCTACTCCTTGGTAGAGGGGAGCGCTTGTCTGTCTGGGGGTGGAGGGAAGAGCCAGAGGGCTAAAAATAGCCTGGTACCAGATCGGGGGTAGGAAAAGCGCAGCTCAGAGCTGGGGCTAGTGGTTAGGGCTTCCCAGCCTAGGGCTGCACTGGGAATGTATACAGAAATTTGGTTAAATTGGTCTATTCATGCCCATTCTAACTTAGCACACCTACAAGGTACAGTTAAATTAGATTGGGTTGGCCATTTTTTGACCAATCTAACTTTCCTTGAACTTCTGTACAGTTTGCACTTACATCAGCTTAACAAGGAATCTAAGTGTAAGGTCCACACATGGATAAACTAAGTTAGATCAGGTGGCCATTTTTAACGCAATCTAACTTCCCCCTAATCATCCCAAATGTCTGTTTGTACCCTAAAAGTAGTCATAGATAAACTGGCTGATGCTTTGGTGGTTCTGCTTTCTTTCAATCCTGGAACAAGGCAATTTCTTGTACAAAATAATTATTCACCACCAAGTTCTTACTTTCCTGCTTCTACTTTGCAGAGACAGATACTCTCTCTTTCATGTATAGACAAAGGAGCTCTTGCTCTACCCAGATTTCTTCACTTAAATATGTCTTACAGAATCCCAGGGTAGAGGAAGAAAGGAATGATCCTGGAATGGAAAAGAGGCAAACTATCACAGAACAAGACTATATCACCATGTCAAAAGTAATGACCTCAAACGATGCACAGAAGGAAACAAAATTATCCAAAAGCAAAGAGGACAATTCATAGAATCATAGAAAATTAGGGTTGGAAGGGACCTCAGGAGGTTATTTAGTCCAACTCCCTGCTCAAAGCAGGGCTATCCCCAACCAGAACATTCCAGCCAAGGCTTTGTCTAGCTGGGTCTTAAAAACCTCCAGGGATAGAGATTCTATAACCTCTCTGGGTAACCTGGTCCAGTGTTTTACTACCCTCCTAGTGAGACTGTTCTTGCTAACATCTAACCTAAACTTCCCTTGCTGCAACTTGAGACCATTGCTCCTTGTTCTGTCATCTGCCACCACGGAGAACAGTCTAGCTCTATCCTCTTTCAAACCATCCTTCAGGTACTTGAAGACTACTATTAAATCCCCTCTCAGTCTTTTCTTTTCTAGACTAAGTAAACACAGTTCCCTCAGCTTTTCCTCACAAGTCATGTGCCCCAGCCCCCTCACCATTTTTTGTTGCCTTCCTCTGGACCCTCTCCAACTTGTCCATAGCCGTTTTGTAGTGAAGGGCCAAAAACTGGACACAGTACCTCAGATGTGGCCTCACCAGTGCTGAATAGAGGGAAATAATCAGTTCCCTTGATCCATTGGCAACACTCCTACCAATACAGCCCAGCATGCCATTAGCCTTCCTGGGAACAAGGGCACACTGTTGGCTCATATTCAGCTTATTATCCACTGTAACCCCCCAGCTGCTTTTTTGCAGAGCTGCTGCCCAGCCAATCAGCCCCCACCCTGCATGGGATTCTTCTGTCCTAAGTGCAGGACTTTGCATTTGTCCTTATTGGATCTCATGAGATTTCTTTTGGCCCAATCCTCCAATTTGTCTAGGTCACTTTGAATCCTAACCCTACCCTCCAGCATATCTACTACTCCACTCAGCCTGGTGTCATCTGTAAACTTGCTGAGAGCGTACTTTATGACATCTTCCAGGTCACTGATGAAGATACTGAACAAAACTGGCCCCAGCAACAATCCCTGGGGCACTCCATGTGATACCGGCTGCCAACTAGATATCGAGTCATTGACTACTACACCCTCTAAGCCTGATGCTCCAGGCAGTTTTCTAACTCCCTCAGCACCCTCTGAAAGTTAAATAGCTCTGATTCACAAAAATGATTACTTTAGAGCAGTGGTTCTCACCCAGGGTGCCAAGGCATTCTGGGGTGCCTTGAGATCCTTTCAAGAGTGCCATGGGATGCCACATAATGTTAGCACTGTTAGGTTAGCAAACATGATTCATAAAATAAACCCAGAAATTTCAGATAGAAATCCATGGTTTCGGTCTTTCTGAGTTCTTTGCAGCAGAAAAACTGCTGTATTATTTTTCTTAAGTAAAAAAAGTTATAAAAACTGGGTGCATCTACACATGCACTCAAGGCCATCCTGGGATGGAGGGGGGTGAATCGGGGTGACTGCCCCGGGCCCTGTGCTTTAGGGGGACCTGTGGAGCCAGGGAGAGTGGCCACGGCAACTCTATGCCACCGCCACCGGCTTCCCGTGCAACCGCTCACTTCCCCCCCATCCCTCTACCGCCAATGCACCACTGTCGATGGTGGTGGCAGCTTCTTCAGGTGCAGGGCATATGGGATCGGGGTGGGGTCCCACATTGGCTGATTTGCCCTGGGTCCCACACCCTGCTCGGGTCGGCTCTGCTGCACCCCACTGTGCAGTGGGTATTGTGTAGTCATTTAGTATTTGCTTTAGTAAGTACTATATAACTGTGAAATACCCACTCCTACTGAGCAATCCTGGTGGCACATGGTTCGTTTTTGACCCTACTGCACAGCAGCAACGAGATACTGCTGATGCTACATCGCTGTAGCTTGTCACTGTAGTGGCATAGCGTCTAGTGTAGCTGCGCCCACTAAGAGCTAGCATTTTTGAAGGGTGCCACAAGTCTATCCAGGGGTGCCTTGAATATAAAAAGGTTGAGATCCACTGCTTTAAAGTATCATATTGCCCTCCAGAAAGATCACCTTGAAGCCATCTTCTTCTTGTATATTATTCAAATGCTGTACTAAAGCCAAATTAGGTGGTTGCCTAAAAGAATATGATGAAAAGTATCTGATATAAACAACAATTACTCATCATGTTTCTCCATTTTCACCTTCCAGGTTCTTCTCTTGCCCTTAAAAGAGAATTTAAGTGAATTTTGTAAATTAAGGAACTTCCACCTCTCTTTCTTCAAAGCACATGTATTGTGGAACATTGGCATAAGCAAACATAGAAAGTAATTTTAAAATGACAAAACTGCACAGTATTCAACAAGTTATACTTGAAACCTCTTAGAGAAACACCATCCCACCATACATTTAAATGGAAAGGGCTTGCACATAAAACTCTGGTATATAGCTTTTAATGTTTCCTTATTTACACACTCTTTAGGCAACCAAATAAATAAAATAAATAGCAGAAGGAAACCCTGTAGCCAGACCCCACACTGAAAAGTTAGAGAGAGTCAGAGGACGATTAATTAGAAATAAGGTATTCATGTATTAAATTGCTGTTGGAAGCTAACCCAGTTTAAACAGGGGTTAAACTGGTCTAAGTGCATCACCTTCACTGATTTAACTAGATTGGCTAAAATAAAATTAGATGAACCACTGCAACTCTCCTAATATAGAGTAGCATAAGAATTTAACAAGTGCCATATTGGGTCAAACAAATGATCCAGCTAGCCAAGTATCCTGTCTGCAGCAACGACAAGCACTAGATGCCTTAGGGACAGTATATGAATGGGGCATATCTAAAGTCTTCCATTTCCTGTCATACCCTCCATGGCATCAACTTTCATTAGTCTGGGAATGCCAGAAGATACAACCCCACAATACAGTTACTGTAGTTATAACATAAAACATGACTGGTCTGCAAAATTAGTGCAGTGGCCTAAGCCTAGCAGCCTGATATCTACACTGAAAAAAAAATACTACCACAAGCAACAACCAATAACATACTGGTTGATAATCTTAGAAAAATAGCCAAGGACAAACAGGAAAGGAGAGTCAACTCCTGGAGGTGGTCTCTCCAAATCAGTGCAGAGGCAAACTGGTCAAGCTACGGAGTGGGGTGGGAAACTGTGCAGGCTATTACCTATGCTATTCCTGTTTTGAGTCTACACAGAGGACATCGGAACAGAAGCTGTCAGTATGGAACTCTCTCACCAGCAGTTAATTCATAGGACATTTTTAACAGTCCCTCAACACCTTGAATCTGTAAATATTCTGGCTTCTAGTGTTACAAACAAAGCAACATCTCTTGAATTACAGGTGAACACATACCAAACGATCCTAAAAGTAAATCATCATTCAGTTTATCAGATTTTTCCTCCTTACTTATACAGCCATCATGTGGCCATTTTACTTTATTCACTGAAGGCTGCAGAAATGATGGACTGTTATGACGTGTACTGTTACAATATCACTCCAACACTACCATGACTGTTATGGACTAATACTAATATTTTGTACTGTTATTACTTTCCAGACACAGAACAAAGAATTCTACAAACACTAAGCCTCTAAACACCCTACTCTGTATAGGAGATATGATTTATCTCCCTTTTACAGGTGGGGAAAGGATGGCAGAGAGCAAGACTCAAAGTGAAAATGAAATGAGAAAACTTGATCTAGCACACAGTCATTTTTTGTATTATAATTTGTATTACAGTAACCCCTAGAAGACCCAGTCACAAATCAGAGCCCTATTGTGCTACGCACTCTCTGCACATAAACCAAAAATACAGCGTTTGCCCTTAAGAGCTTACCATCCAGGTGTACGAAGAAACAACAGGTCAATACAACCAAAAGCTGGGGACAAACTATGGGGACTAAACCCATTAGGTCTTTACAAGGACTTAGATGCCTAAGTTTGACTCTATTCCACCTTGTTCAAGTCCTTGAAAATCAATTAATGCATCTACTTCCATCACACATTGTCATCTTACCCTTATGTCTGAGTAACAAAAAAGCAGTGAGGAGGAAGATGCCACACCCACCTCTTCTATTAAATTTTTCAGGGACTTGGGCAGGTTGGAAAAGGATTGTACTTTCACACGTAACCAGGCAAATTTTTTAGGAAATACTTAATGAGAATACAGGAGAGGCTCTAGGGATTTTTGCACACATCTCATATCATGCAAAGGAATGGCAGGGGAAAAAACATGAAGGCATCTGAAGGAAAATCAAAGTAATGAGAGAAACATTCTGGCCTGACTGATAGAATGCAAGTTCTAGGGTCAACTATTGGACAGCATATAAGACATGATAAACAGGATGGAGCTATTTCATAAAGTGAAGACAAACAGTTTGATGAGGTGAAGAACAAGGAATTCAGAAGGAAAGCAGTAGGAAGTGGCACAGCAATAAGCCAAGAATTTTTCCTTTGTGGCAGTGTTTTGAATACATTTAACACATTTAGAGGAGGATGACATTTATCAAGGCTGGAAAAAATATGTTGTAAGAGTCAAGATGTGAGATGTTTGGATGAGCATGTTAATGGTTTAGACAGAGGAAAGGCTGAAAGTTAGAGCTGTTCAGAAACAAAAAAAAGTTTACATCTGGCTTGGATAGGGGGGCCTGACAAAAGGGCAGAATTCAAGATGATTCTAAAATAATGTACCTGGGTGACAGGTAGGGGGGCAGCTTTCTCCATGACAATAAAAAAGCAGGTTTGTAAAGAGGTATTTGGGGAAGAAAGATTAAAAGCCTCAGTTTAACTCAGTGATTCTCCACCAGAGTGCCATGGTTGAGAACACAATATACTAACAGTACTATTTTGTAGTATAAAAGATACTGTAAACAACATGAAGAAAAACTAGATGTAATCTCAAAGTTTGCTGTCATCTATGCTTTGGATGAACAACTTAAGCTTCAATACAAAAAATTTACTATTATTTAATTTGTGAGCCGTGAAACAAAGCCATCCAGATTACATGATAGGTGCAAGCATCATGTCAGTCATCCTATTACAAACCTCACTTTCCTCAAATGAGTCATCTCCCAAAAGCCTGTCATGCTATGAGCTTGTACATAAAATGTGTTTACAGTTTTCCCCCCTTAATATTGTTAAAATTTGCATATAAAATTTAATTGCTTACCTGGCAGAGGTAGTTGGACTAATATACCACTAACTTTTGAATCCTTGTTTAACTGGACAGTCAGATCTAAAAGTTCTTCCTGAGAAATGTCTTTAGGCTTCAGAATTATCTCACTATGAATACCTGATAGAAAGAAAGTCAAACAAAAGACACTTTGTGCTTTCCTGCTTTTCCTAAGGTGAGCTAAACTATTTGAGGTGAAATTCTCAAAAGTGATAAAAATTTGTCTTCAATGGGCATGAATGCTTTTTAAAAGTCCACCTTTTTCAACAGTTTGCACATACAAATAATGTGTAATCTTACAAGTGAATTCAGAGGAAGTTAAATATCTCACTTCAACACATCTTAAAAATTAAAGAAAACAAATGTTTACAAAAACAAGACATGCACTAATTTTCACAGGAATATACGCCTGAAGATTCTGAGTAAACCTCTAGGCCAGGGACAAACATTACACATAAACTTGTTTAAGTGTTCAGAAACTGGTTTAAACCTGTAACAGAATAAATGTTCATTGCACATAAACCAGTTTAAAAATGGACGAAACCAGTTTGAGATAAACCTGGTTCAATGTAGTATCAGACTTAACTGATTTGGCTTAAACCAATTTATGCGTTGTCTGTCCCAGACCTTTTCCTGGTTTCAGTTAAATCAGAGAACCCCAGCATCCCTGCATGCTCTCTGGGCTGGTGGGGCTCTTTGCTCCAGCTGAGCCAAGCTGGCCCTGCCCCTCAGCTCCCCAGCCCAAGCAAGAGCAGGAAGGGGCAGAGGTCTGGCCAGAGAGGGGTTTAATTCCCCCCTCCCTGTGCCACCAACAGGGACTGGAGCTGGGTCTGCCTGGCACTCCCCCCTTGCTTCCTGCCCAGAATAGGCCCCCAGCTGTCCCCTCCACTGGAGGGAGGAGCAATAACCCCTTCCTTGCCCAGCTGTGCCTCCCACCCCCGCTTGGTGTACAGCTGGCTGTGTGCCCCCCACCCCAGCTCCACATCTGGTGTGCCATGGTACTTTTTTATTTAGGTAAATGTGTCGTGGGGCAAAAAAGGCTGGGAAACACTGCATTAGCGCATCATGGCAAAAGCCATGCTAACATTCTAATGCACAGTATAATTAGTCTACTATACATTAGTATCACTTAAAAGACATGCACCGATGCTACTGTGCAGTAGCACCAATTACTGCGCATTAAGTTACTAAACTTAATGTGCAATAATTATAGCACATTAATGCACATGTAGATGTACTTACTGATTCATGAACTCCCCTCCCTCAAATTCTAGGACCTGAAAAGTAAACTCTTACATTTGTTTTAAATGTGAATGTAGCAGGACACTGGGGTGCCTGCTACTAGTAATAGTGGTGTGGGCTTAGCTGCCGAGTTTCAGAGCCGCCCAGGTGAGGGTTGCTAGAGCAACGGATTGAGTCAGCTGACCGCCAGGGAGCAGGGCCGGGCCTTTATAAACAGCCCAGGCCGGAGCCTAGTTAGTAGATACCTTCAGGCTGCCAGAGGAGCAAGAGCTCTGCAGCAGAGCTGAGCTGAGTCGGGCAGACTGATAGAGCGACTAGGAGGTCTTACTGGAAGGCCAGGTGGGGCCTGGACTTTATGTTATAGCCAGTAGGCTTATTGTTCTGTTACAGCTGGTTGGCTTATCGTTCTGTTGTGTTAGTTGTGTAAATAAACCAGAGGACCGGGTGAGGCTGTAGGGGTGTGAGGAGGCCTCACAGGAGATCCCCCGTAGTCTGAGGGGTTTCCTGGGTGCCCTGTTCGGGCACCGAGCAGTGCCGGGGAGGCACGGATGGTTGGCGCCGGTGGGACGCAGTGTCCTCACAGGAGCTCCCCAGTAGTCTGAGGGGTTTCCTGGGTGTCCTGTTTGGGGCACAGAGCAGTGCCTGGGCGGCACGGCTGTTTGGTGCCGGCGTGGTGCAGTGTGTGGGGGTTGAGAACCCAGCCCGTGAGGGCGGTATTCGGCCCAGTAGGGCGAAGGACCC